TCTGTATGCCACTTATCTAAACCTTAGTAATGCTGAAGAAATGTGAAGGATGACTTGCATAAGATTGTTGAAACTACATGTAGTACTACAAATGTACCGGTGTGCTCTTATTCACTGAAAGTATTGCACTATAATTGCAGACATTTTATCCAGTAGGAGTAAAACTTGAAGGGCAGATGGTTTGGGACAGTTTGAAACAGATACATGTACATGTATGCAGTATTAAAGGTACATGTACTGTACATGTTATTCAAAATGAGTAAACTACCGGTACACAGGTACAATGTACACCGTACATGTACATGTAATATGTACCTGAATGTACATGTATAAATTTACATGTATGTGTTACAAAAGGAAGGGGAGGGCTTTGGTTTCACCAGAGGTGTTAGTCTATTTTGAACTATCAGTATGAATTTCCATGAGAATGTTTGATTTATAAATGTGCATGACATGTACATGTATGTACATGTACATGTACACATGTAATGTACGGTACATGTAGGTAGCATGAAAGACTTTGAATTTGAATGGGTGATCTTTGAATTTACTCTGGTCATAGGCAGTCAGTTCACTAGCAGTCACATTACATGTAGGTTGTACATGTACACAAACCGTACTTATTCATGGAGCAGACTTTGACACTTGTCAAGAGAAGATCAACTAATACACAAAAGTCTCCAAAGACTGCAGGAATAAATAATGCCAATTTTTGGGGGGGAGGGGAGTCGATTCTTACCGGTAATATCGCACGCTGCATCCACTATGGTCGCTATCCACCCCAGAATCCAGGTTTGCGTGCAGAGCTGCGTCCGCAGACTCGGCAGGAGGATGGATAAAGTCTGCAGCATGCCGTCCCAAGAAAACCAGCACATCCAGGCGGCCAGCACAGCAAACCAGCGGTACACACCGCTGTACTCGTCGATGGATGCGCGCCGAGCCACCCCCTTCTTCTGAGTCTTCTTGTCATGCTTGTGCACCATATTGTCAGAGTTCCTCGTGTCTGTCTTCTTGCTCTCTGGCAAAAGCGTTGCTGGAAGCGTAAGTCATGCTACCCGGTGGTACATGCCCCAGTTTCCTCTTTCTTGAAGTGCATACATGTACGATGTATGTTTGTTTACGGGAGGTGCAGTACATGTACATGGACGTGCTCTCATTATCTCAGCATTGAGAATGTCTTCATCACTGACTAAGCACATAGGGAAGAAGACGTACATAGATGCACACCTACAGTGCACTTCTAAAATTTGGTGGAGATCTTTTGATGTAGTGCATATGGTCAACTGTTTCATGATGAATCCACAGATCTTGCTGGTACATTGATCTGTTGATACATGTACATGTACAGTGTAGGCCTACATTGTACATAAAGTGTATTGCATATATGGACGTGGTAGTGGAATGTGCACAGTACAGAAGCACTACTGTTGGCTATACCCTGTTTTTTTCACATAAAGTTATTTGTCAATTGCCTATTCTATGGGATTACCCTCATTTCCTCTCTCACCAATTACATACGTGTACATATGTACAGGTGTAACTATTAGAGCTGGACTCAAGCGCTGCTCAATAATGGATTGAATTAGAAAATTTTATGAGCACTTTGTGGCTAATAAAAGGAGGACTTTCTACAGGTTTATAACTTAGTGCCTGAACTGGCATGTACTTGTATGTACATGTACATGTACGTAGTACAGCATGACATGGCAGTCCATGGGCCAGGCATGGAGGAAGGACACAGAAGGAGTTTCAACTGCCCGGCTACCGGTACATATATAAGATACATGTATCTGAGCAATTACTGCTTTTTGGCATGCTCAGTATGTCCATAGCCAGAGTGCAGCAAATGCATGCTACGCACCACCTGTTTCACAATGATAAGCCCCCTTTGTACCCCATGATCATCGCCTCAATTTTTCGCTGGCAATTTGCATTCTTAAAACTTTGTGTACTGCAGTATACATCAAGGAAACATTGAGTACATGGAAAAGTTCAAACTCTAAAAACAAAATTTTTACATCAGCAAAAGTAAATCTAATGTCAGATGTTTTTCTTCTCTTTCCTGTTAAGATACTTGTAAGTTGTACATGTAGTTAATTGCAAAGAAACGACGACACATTCTGGTATTGCTAGGATATTTACTGGCCCCACTTGCCCGACAAAGCTGCAGGCAGTAATCAGGCATATTTGGAATGTTTAAAAAATTGGTATTGTGTGTCTGACTGGGTGGCGATGATCATGGAGCACTTTGATATGCCAGAATTGTAACTCCTTCTGCGTCCTTCCTCCACGGAGCAGGGTACATGTACATGTGACAGTCTGCATGCACCTGTTTTAGAAGAAAGAATTTTTGAAGAGTACTTTTCACATGTGTTTGGGAAATCATTTTGACATGTTCAGTATTAAAGTAAGAGATACATGTAACAAGTGGACTGCTGTTTCAATGAATCGGTCATTTTTTTAAGAGTGGTTTTTGCCATTACACCAACATAGCATGTATATTCATAACAGCGTATGCTCAATGTTTTGGTCCTAGAGTTTACTTTGGTGGGACTTGAACCCAGGATCTCCTGCTTAAACACTATAGCAGACATCTGAAACTAGTGCAGACATCTTTTCTGCAAGCTCTCAAGCATACAGTGTTATACTGTACATGTACATCGTACATGTAACTATACATGTACATGTATCAGTAACTCCCCAATGCAAAGCACATCTTGGAATACATGTACGGTAGGTTGCAGTACCCATTGCCACATCTGACTCTGACCAGCTAGCCAAGCCCAGCAAGCTCAATGGTTGAGTGGTTAAGACGTTTGCACTTATAGTAGGCTGGAGGTCATAGGTTTGAGTCCCACCCGAGAAAGCCCTGTGAATATTTTCACAAGCTCCCGGACAAATTGAAACACTGAGCATACAGTGTTACCAGTATGAATATACATCAGTGTAAAGGGCAAAACCGATTACTAAACAAATTCACATGTCTCCGACGCAAGGTAGATGTACCACATCTTGGAATGAATCATTCTAAGACATTGGTTGATTGAAGGAGGTTGTAACTTTTCTCTTTAGCACATGTATGCATTGCATACGAAACTTTGCAGCACAGTAACCATAGTTGGACATGCCGTTGCACTTTTATTCATAGTCTTTACCATCAGCTTCAATTATTTTGACTGTGAATTTAATTTGAAGTTATTTTGCTCGTACTTGAAGTGAGCATGGCTCCACAAAATTTCCTGCCGCAGTAAGAGGGTTATCGCCCGCCCGTCTAGATGCACCACACGATTTACGAAAAAAAAGTGGCATGCACTGGTGCATGTACATGTACATGTACATGTAGACCAAAAACCTACATTCACCAGGAAAAACCTACATGTACATGCACCATCATTTTGCGAATATCGGTTGCGCAAAGGACTGTATATACATGTAGCAATTTAAGGATTGTAAGCCAAAGATAAGGTTAGATGTGTAGGCCTACATGTATTATGAATCTGCTGCGAGGAATGGGAGAAAGAAATAACACGTTCAGACATTATCTGGTCAAGAATTCAACCAACTTTATTCTTATTCTCACTTATTGGTACCGGTAAATGTATGCAGGAAATGAGTATTTTGGTGGCTAGAAAGTTACATGCAGGTTGTGCATGCTCAGTAAAAAAGTTACGTACACAAGCAAAACTCTACATGCACTGGTGCATGCGGGCACCGGGTAAATCCAACCCTGATCACACACTGCGATATATAGACACTGTTTGCCAGCTTCCCAGACGTGATTACTTGACTAATAGTGTGCACAGTGTTGTGAACTGTCCATAATTCTTAAGAATACCAGTAGCTGACTGTAGATATTGTTACATTGATTAAGGCAAGTTTTATAGCAGTTTTTGGTACATTTACATGTACATGTAGCATTGATCCCCATGCAATCAGCACAAAGAAAATTGACCAGAAAAAAATTGCAACCTACTGACCCCACATGTACATGTATTTTTTAGATGCATGTAATCCAAAGCAGAACTGTTTCTTTCCCCGAGACATTTGGACTTTGCATTATATGCCATCTTCCCTGCAAAATGTATATTTTACACAAAGCAGCAACAGTTTTCAATTGAGAATCATTAGCACACTATCTGATCACTTCTCAGGAAGTTTGTTCCGATTACCTATTTCAGTGACCAGAAATTTGTATTCTTGCCCATATATTTGATAAAGTTCGTTACATTTAGTGTGTTGCAGTGTGCTATCCCACTAAGGCTGAATGTACAAATTGGCTTTGTTTTCAATGTTGAAGCATTTATTGAGAAATAGCCAAGACAGATTAGCCATTGCGATCGTTTCAGTGAGCATCCAGTGGCTTGCGTGCTTTGATAAAGCACAGGCTGGCTGAAACACATTTCCAGTGTCTCATGGAATTGAGACTCCATCCCCTAATTATGTTGGTTGAATGGCTACAGTCTTCACTTGTGTTTGCACAGCACTGTGAATAATTCAACATTTTGAGAGTCCCAACTTTTCCTTATATGGGCTTATTGTGTTCTTTGGGACCTCACTCAGTACCACTTTATGACCACCTGTGAGAGGTACACAGCATAACACTGGCGGCGGAACCATTTTCAAAGTGGGAGAGGGAGGAGGCAAGTTGCGAGACCATCAGGCATCAGCCATTAATTGACAGGCTCATCCATTAAGCCTTACCCCATTTATAGACCTGCAAAACATTGGGGGGGGAATGAACATGAAGTAAAAGCGTTAAGAACAAAATCATGAGATTTTTTTTATCTTCATTAAATTGTTTTGACTTTCTTTGAATACTCAAAATACACGTACATTCAATTGTCAGCATCCATTTTCCTGATGCCTGGAGCCAATTAAAGAGCGGCCGGGTGTGAAAGCCTTATGGACGCCTCATCGGTGAACATTTATCAATGCACATTTTACATGTAGATTTCCCATTTGCACTGGAAACTTGTATTGTGATTTCTTGGAACTTCCAGGAAGGAAGTCGTGGCTTTTCAGAGTCCTGCATTTCCGACCCAGCGAAAAGAGCTGAGCTGTCAGCTAAGCGAGCTGGCCTCTCCAAGCCCCATCAATGGTTGCAAATTTTGGTAAGCACACTGTACGTAACGCGGTGTACATCTACAGTATGTGAGGGTGTTTTACATGAAAGGAACTGTGACCGCAACAGATAAATTTAATAAAAAAGTTCAGAAAATAGTTGAACCCTCTATTAATATCATAGTGTACAGAAATGCAGCGCAATCATGCAGATAATGAAAAACCAATCCATTCATCATGCATCAGTCCAGGCTGGTGGTCGCCACCCATCATTTACCAAAGGGGGGTGCACCCCAAATGGTGGTTAAATACAAACAGGCAAGAGGGGATGGTAAAAGTACGGTAAGATGAGAGGCCTATTTGATTTGGTCTTTTTCATTTCTCTTCCTGAAAAGCCTGTAAAACCCCTCTGAAAATTTGGTTTAAGATCCACCCTTGCAAGTTGGGCTTTTTAATAATTTCTACCTTTAAAGTTAAACTGATTATATTGACTACATGTGTGTACAATTTTTTAAAAAGCAGAGCAAAAGAAAAGTTACCGATCTCTCACTCTCGCCCCTCTCCCTAAACAAAAATTGCAGTGGGGGGGGATGTCTGCCTCTGGATTTACTTCTGGTCAGTGATTTTTCAGAGTTTCGTGTCATTGAGAAACAAAGTTCTTTTTCCACCGTTTATGCTCTCCAGATTGGTTGGCAGCCTGTTGTCCAGTTGATGCCTTACCAAGACGGCAGTACCTTGCAGCTGAAGATGCTGTGGAAGGTTGTCAATTTCCTCTACCCTGCCCTGATAGTGGCTTTACTGCTGACAGCATTCTTCTTGCAGTATGCCTCGTGTTACATGATCAATACTGAATCCTCCCAAAAGGTAAAATCGAAATAAGTTTCTCGGACATTCTGTGTCTGAAAAGGGCATTAAAATTGAGGCCAGAAATGTGCTCGCCTTGTCACAAACTTGCCCTTAGTATACATGTAATTTCAGTAAAAAATCCCTGACTTTTTAAACTGGCAGGATACATGTACTACAAGTAACCTTTATACATCATTGCTTACATGTATTTTAAAACTCAGGACAGAATCACAGAGCAATATTTGCAATGGCAGCGGAATTACATGTATTTTCAAAGTGGGGTGGGGGCCATTTGTGAGCCCATCAGGCATCAGCCTTTGGTAGACCTTCTG